ACAGGACAAGGACGGAATCCACACTGGCAACAACAGTGTGAGTGCAATTCCTAGAGGTAAGACTATAATGGCGTAGAGTCCAATCAGACAGCTAAGGGGGTTTTACTGCAAGGTCTCCTATTTAAATATTAGAGTTTGTAGACACCTGCATGGGCCCATAGGGCGCCAAATCGGGCTAAATGAAATCAAATTCAAAAATTCAAAACATTCATCTCAGTGTTTATCAGTTGGATTCAGCCAGACTCTCCACGGAACCATCGACCCAAAAAAACGGTGGCAACAAAAACTGCGTGCGCGGGAAAAAGTTTCAAAAAACCTGCAGCCCCAGCCAGGCGAGGCCTAGACATCGGGACCACATGAGGTGCGCATATTCATCTATATCTTCCTTCTTTGTAACAGTCGAGGCCGACTTTATCCAATCTACCATCTACGTATCGGGTGCCGGGTCCGCTCCGGAAACTCATCGGATGGCTTTTCCTCCATGATCAAGGGTTAGTGATGAGAAGGGCTTCGACCCTACCATCTGATCTGATCGTGGTTAGCTCCATGATAATAGTGATAGGGGAATGTGTTGAGAGACGAAGACGAAACAGACCGCGAAAGCGACTGGGAATTCTCGTCTAAGTGAGGATTCTGATATTCAGTGTTGGCTCTGCAGGCTCTACAGTGAGAGCTGGAGGTTCGTAGCGGACACCAATGAAAGGTGTCGAGGTGAATTAAAAAATAAGGTATCGAGAATAGTCCCCCTTCCTTAACCTGTAGGCAGAGAGGACCTGCCTGTTCAGTAAAGATATAAACTAGGAAAGGGAAATAATATAAACAATAATAACACTAATCTTAGAGGTCTCGTGAAAAAGACTGTAAACCCGTAAAACTTGAGACTCGTTGCATACGATTGCAATGATCAAGCTAAGTCACCTGATGAGTCGTGGTGCACTGTTGAGAGTTGTATTTGGTTGGCATATTTACTCTGATGTTTGGGTAGACGTCTCAAGTAAAACGCCAACGCTACTGGAGAGATTTAGTCATAGTACACTGTAGTAACATGTACATGCACTCTGTTATCACACGTAGATACTCGCAGAAGACATCTCTATATACCGAGGTCTTCTTTGGATTAAAACAGTGGAGATTTGATCAATATACATTTGCTGTACATTTTTCAATTGACCATCAGTGTCCAACAAAACCTGTACAGGTTAGGCACCCGGATACAGGATAGAATTCCAAAAAACCCAGTAATTCTTTCTCTCGTGATGGACAACCTTCGTGTGTTACGACTGTTAGATGGAGATATTACTGAAACACAACTTGAATGAATTGAAAAATTCATATTTATTTAGATTAACGTGTCAGGAAATCGGGAGCTACCGCACCGGGTCTCAACATGCAGCTATTGCTTAAACTCCTTTTTTTGAACCAGATTTTAATTGCATATGCAGCAATCTAGGCATGGCACAAGATCAGAGGAAAAGTACAGAAAATATGACTCTATACGCAAGAAGAGCACTCATACTTCGGGTTTCATTTGCAAGTACCACTGCGAAGTTATGGTGGCTTTTTCTTCACCCCAAGTCAACCCTCATCCGTCGAGACTGTAGACTTCCTTTACATCATCCTGTAAACTTGTTCTGATCCCATTCACGCTCGTCCCAAAGAACTGTCTCCCAGATTTGTGCGCCACGCTTTGCTTCCTCCTTCGGATGTAAATATCGGCGTGGGCGTATATTTGATGACGAGCTGAGGCCAGAAAGAGTCGACGAGAGGTATGGTCATTGGAATGAGGATGTACTGAGTCGTAATTGTAGACTTGATGAGAGTTATGTAGGATTCGATCTCTTTGGGAGTGAAAAATTGACATGGTGGAGTATTTTGAGTCATTACCTCGTGGACCAACTTCTTTGACATTGCGACGTTTGACTGAACTTGGCTCTGGGAGAATATTTGACTCCCAAGTTCGCAGAAGACATCACGTACAGGTGTTCAGTCTTGCCCTCCTCATTGTCCTGTTGAGTCTATGAATTTGTAAAGACATGTAGGACCTTTCTGCTCACAGGTCGGGAGTAACTATGCTTCGAGTAGCTCACTCTCTCCTATGCCTCCCTCACATCTTCTTTCCAGCAGTGATACCCCCATATGTCTTGTTAAACATTGAGGATCAAATGAAAAATTTAAAGTAAAATTATATAGATGAATTCTCTCCTCAACTCCTCTCCAGCTTTGATGCTATATACCCATCTGAAACTATTTCCGGGAGAGAATATCTTCTCCACTTTTTCCAAAATTACATATGAAATATATTACATGTGTTGGAGATGAAAAGATCTCAAGTTAGGACTTTGAACATCATGACTATCCTGAACACCAAGTCTCTGGTGAGATGTCAAAGCTCGAGTGAGATAATCCGAGAAGATGTGTCATCCTAACATCCAAAGATTCTCATTATCAGATTCAATAGGTCCCAGATTATCAGTTGTTTGATAGGTCTTCATTCGAGCACACACTGTGAGGAGCCATTATCCCGTCATTATCCCCCTCTTCAGCCGACGAAACAATGACCGTTTGCGGGTGTGTAGCTGCAGGGTAAAGTCTCAAAAACCACTGGGTGCGCGCCTCTCCTATTACGAGGAGGCCGACAAGCCGGGCGCAGCAGACCTGTGTAAATCTGAGAGCGTCTTTCAACCTTCCTAGCCTCCTCCTTACTCCTCCCCTGATTCATACTGCAGGACAAATAGTAGGTCGTGAAAGGATATCAGAAAAGTCTTGGTCGAGAGTGACAGTCGTGAAGAAGCCTAGCCTAGCATCCAAAAGTCGTTGCGGACGTGGGGTCGTCGAGTAACTCATTTATTTCAGATGCCCTCCTGGCTAGTAGATTCGGAAGTAATGATTAGAAGGGACGATACTATTGACAAGTCGAAATCTGCTTTTCTTGAGGGCGGATGGGTCTTTTACTTTGCTTTCATGGGCTTTTTGTTTGCCCGCCGGCGGGTAGCATATGTTGTGATGTAACGAGGGCTTCTCTGACTACCGTTGTAGCGTTTGGTACGGCATTATCTTTCCTCATTCCCAGCATCATTATCATCGTCTTGGTCGTCTTATGTATTATCGAAAGCGTATCTTTGATGGAGGGGAAGATGACTCAGCTAATAGTTTATAAGGTGTTGCCCAAACACGACTCTGCAGACTCTACAGCGAGAGCCGGAGGTTGGTCGGGGACATAACAAGCAAGTGTTGAGTTTCGTTTCCTGTAAATTCTCGGAATTTACCTAATGATTTTTATATTGGCACTAAATAGAGTCATGAAAGAATGTCAGCACGCTAACCCATTTGAGCGTGGTACAAAATTTCAGAAACTTCAACTGCTGGCGCGTGGCGAGGTGGAGTCGTGGCGATAGATATCCGGGTGGATAATAAAAGAGGATAGAGGCAAGAACTGGACTCTGGATCTTGGCAGTCTGATTTTTGCCCAATTTTTCCTCTCGTATATCGAGTTAGCCGTAGCGGCGGTTACAAGCCTTTTATGTGCAGGGCTCGTGCCTCTCACATTAACACCGTCGAATCAAGTCAGTTTCTCGGCCAGGCTCTGGTCGGCATGGATGAATATACAGTGCTTCTGGGATATAAAATGTTAACCTCAAAACTGGGATGTTTAAGGGATTAGCCCTGTAGGCGCAGTTGGGCTAGCTCGTAATAGGTTAGTATGTCTCTCCTCATCACCCCGCTCGCCATGAAGTATGGTCCAATCGCTTAGAGAGACACATTTTCAACGACATTTAAGGCTGCACAACCCATCCTCATCAACATCACCATCAATTCACCCTCTATTCCGGCAAACAATGTCTCTCGAAAAGTTTGCTTCAAAAGCTAAAGTTTGCAGGCACATAACTCGCTATCAATGTATTGAAATAAGAGCATTAAGCGACTTGGCTTCACACTACAACATATATCCGACGAACTTGGCTTCTCAAGAAGGCAAGTGCAACTTGCGTGTGCTCGAGAGACTGGGAATCCCATTTCTCGCAAAGGATGCTCACCTAAATTAAGCGTGGAACAAGTTGATGAGCTTGAGGCTTTCGTCCGGGAATCTCCTGAAAATCGACAGATGTGCTATTTGGAACTAGCAATGGAACCATTCAGCCACTGGAGATGAAATGAGCATTAATTTCAAATGCCCTCAATAGAATGGGTTACAGCAGATACAATGCACGGAAGATGAATAGCAGTGACAAAGGAAAATGGAGGGTATACAAAATGTTAGGATGGAGCAGACTAACACAAAACACGTAGCACGCTTTCATTCTAGCTGCGAGCTATACTGAGGACTTCGATGTTTACTTTTGTAACGCAGAGCGATTATTTTTAAAATAGATGTGTATTTTTAGATAATATCAATTGATTTTTTTTAATTTTAAAATTTAAATGAGGACCATTGTACATTTCATTTAGAGTTGAAAACCATCCCCATAATTTAGACTTTCACGGAATATCATTGGATAGTACTCCTTGCTTGCATAACTAGCCGAGTAACTAGACATTGGCCTGCATGAAGACCATATATATTAAGGCAATATGTACAGGGACCTAACCCCAGTCATTTTGACAATTGTACTTTTGATACCCATAAGAGACTGTAAGTCTAACGATCCAAACTGGGAGGTTAGGTCACGGCACTTAAATAAATACGATCTAGCGCACCTCTGTTAGTAGTGACCGGATTGCGTGAAAAAAATTATGCGGAGGGTAAGATAGACTAGTGACTTGTATGCTACACGGTGTGACAAGAGTTATCCAAAATGTCACTCTGGAGCTACTATACGAAGATCGCACGGTCTGGCCACGACAATTGCCACATCATAGCATTCATACCATCGACATACAAAAGGATAGAAAAAGACATGGATAAGTTCCACTGCGAACTATTCAAAGAGAAGACGGACGGGCGCTATCCTAAATCTTGCAAAAGGCCGAGATGTCCGTATCCAAAGAAAATCCGGCCTTATCTACGCCTCTGGAACTGCCTCATACATGATATCACGCAAGAGCCCCACTATTGGAATCTGGAATGGTCGCTGACCCCGGATCCGCTTCGGTCCGCTTACCCGGGTTAAACTCGGGCCGAGTGCGCGTCGCTTAGGCATTGCGACGCCGGGCCCGTCCGCCTCGCTTGGGTCCGGTCTACGTTTGGCTTGTGACGAAAAGTCCAGCTGGCCTGCACTGCTCCCGCTGACTGACGCCATCATGTCCCCAAACACATGATTTTCCAGGGCCTCGGCTGGCAGGTCGAATACCCAATCACGCGATTCCATCAATTTAACGAATCGAGCCACCATCTCCTCATCACTATGCGCGCTCGGTCCGCTGCCCTTGAGCGTCTGCCGGCTGCCAATCACCAATAGCTTCGTCCGGGCACGCGTGAAGGCCACATTAATGCGGCGCCAATCTTTAAGTAACTCCCCGATCGATTTCGCCTCGTTACTGCGAACAAGGGAAAGAATGATGACTTCTTTATCTCGACCTTGGAAGCGGTCGGTCGTGTGCATTTCTACTTGGCTATGTGCGCAGAGACTGTGCTTGAGAAGTGCAAGTTGTGAACGGTAGTGCGTCATGACCCCAATACTAGAAGCTGAAATTCCGACGCTGAGGAGTCCTTGTACCAGATAATTACAAATTTTGGCTTCGGTTGGATTTACGATTCTATTGCCTTTTGCCTCCTCACGCGCCAAAGGAAGCAATGGATCCGTGTTTATAAATGAGACCTTCGTGCTAGGTTTGATAAGTTCATGAAGCCAGCAGCTGCTGCTTGTTAATCCTGGGCAAACACAGCTTTGACTACGATGAAGCGTCAACGGAGAAAAGTGATGATTCTCTAGCCCTCTTATATCCGGAATAGAGATTTCGCGCTGAGAGACTTGCGTGTTTCCACATTTGAGTCGACCACCATAGATCAAACAGTTGCTTAAGGTCATTACCTCTTCACACATCCGATACTGATGTTCCAAGTACACAACTGAGCTAGGATGCATGTCAGAGAGATGCTTAAAAAGACTAATATCTAAGCCCCCCTTTCGCGCCTCTTCATTTTTTACAAGTGGAGGTAATTGGAAATGATCACCCACGAGTACAAAGGTACGGGCAAGACGGATTGGCCCCAGGCAGACGGGAAGTGTGATCTGAGAGGCTTCATCAACGATGCAGTAATCAAAAGTCCGCTCACTGAAAACAGCATGATTTATTCCAAGACATGTAGTTGCAACGACGGGCGTTCCATGCCAACATCTCTGGATCTCTTCAAATGAGTGTTTGGGACTGGCAGCCAGGGTGACGAATCCCTGTACTTCGGGAATAACTTTGGATATTTGACCTAGGCGCAGAATCATGATGCCGTCATGCTTCAATTTCAGAAGAATATTATCTACGGCTGTATGAGTATACGATGTCAAAAGAACACTTTTCCCCCGCGAAACCAAAGCTCTTATGATATGTGCAATAGTTGTGGTCTTGCCAGTTCCAGGCATACCAAGGACAAGAGCATAATCCTCGGCATTCATAACTTTTTGAATGGCTTCTTTTTGATCCACATTTACGAGCTCACTATCTTGTAAGAGTAAAGATGTGGGATTATTTCTAAACTGAGGCTTCTTCAGATCCACGATTAGGTCACGTATGTGACGAGAACCAGAAGGCTCATCGACCATTATCCGAATCAGATTATTTCGAATAGTCGCCATGCCATTACTTAGCTCATCTTTATCCAATCGGTAGTATACAAGAGATCTCTTTAATCCCTCACCTCCATCAGAATGCGTACCTTGCTCTGAATCTTGGGTTCTGTCTCCAAAAACTTGGTTATTAAGCGCATCGAAGCCAGGCTGGCGAGTCCATTCATTATAAAGTCTACGATCTACTTTGACAGTAATTTCATGCCGTAAAACGCGAATCACAAATCCGTTGGCGAGAGCAAAATGACCATTCTCATCAGAAATCACTATAGGGTCTCCAACAGTCATCTGCGAGTCCAAAAACGAAAAACTAGAAGTTGGCTTCGCTTTTATCATGGTGTACTGAAATCTATTGATCTTCGAATAATTCTTGTCTTCGCTAAAAGTATTACTTTGGATAATGACATGAGAGAAACACCTGCCAAGCTTTTCACGTTCAGAACTAAGCATAGTCCATAATTCTCGTCGGAATTTGGAGATTTCTTTTTCTTCCTTCATCAGAAGATCATCCCACTTCAAGAAAAATTCCTTGTGTCTCGGTGTAAGATGCTTAAGAAGGTCACTGAAGGTTGCCTTTAGCTTATATGTCTCGCTTTCTGCCTCATCAACGAACTTATGGTAAATAAGACACGGAATCTTCGCGTAACACGAATTACATAAATTATCGTTTTTCAGCATTGACGGGAGTTTCGAATTGCGTTCCATCGCATGACAGGCAAGCCTATTCCGTTGCATAATCATGTGGCAGATATCATGTCGGACTGCAGGTATCCGTATTGTTTCCGATGTTTCCATGTAGTATAGAATTCCATCTGCAATATTGACATCATATCTATCAGATAAAAGTAGATTGTAGAGCGTTGTTTGGGCACGGTGAGATATGCTTTGGTTTTTACCGGTCTTGACTTCAAATGGAACAGTCAATGTTCGGTTCTCTTTTCTATCTTTTATGGTCACTTGAACAGTCGCATCTATGTTGCCTTTAATCCCATACATTGGAGACCAGACATGCTGTTCGACTTCGAGTAATTTAGAAATACACATAAGAGCAGTACCACCGTTAGATAATTTGAGGTGGGCCCCTGGCTATAAGATGATTTAGTTAACGAGGCAGCTTGTTTAAATATGCCACTGACCTTTGGTTGAGGCGAAACAAATAATCCAGCCCAGGACTGCAACTCAGGCATCTTGGTTTTTAAGTGCTTGATGGCCTCAACTACATGAACCTTGATTGTATACAGATCCTCAAGGTGCCTTGTAGTTATTTCTTGGATAATATTATCTAACCATTTTGTATCCCATCGATTCGATTGCATGGCTGACTGAAATATCTCATGAAGAATTGTACCATAAACTAAAGGGGCAGTTTTTTCACTTGTGGCCTTGACCCTCTCCTGAAGGATGGCTCGGCGGATACAGCCAAAGGAGTCAGCAACTACTGTAGAAGATATAAGATGATCAGGGTGTAGAATGAGCAGATTGTTTTCGTTGTCAACTATGCATCGACCGGTACAATCAAAGCGTCCAATGATATGAACATAAGCTTCAATGGGCACTGGAGTGTCTAGCCAAATTCCCCGCAAATGAACAACCCTGAGATCTATTGTGCGTCCATCGCTAAGCATCAATATCTTTTCGTATGGTGTCAGAGATTTATCAATCACAGGGAGCGAATGTTGTTACCTTTTCATTACTCTGGCGACTTAAAGAATCTTCATATACAGAATCCATAACTTTTGTCACCAAGTATCGTTGAATGGCTCCAACTTTTTGGTTTAAAAGCTGAAAGATATTTAGTAACTCTTGACCGTGCATATACTATGAAAATCTTGTACATACAGCCGTCCGACTGTTAGGTGTCTGACATGTTGCTTCTACAGCCACAAAATCGGCATCATTTAGGTCACCATCAGCAAATTCATCCTCTGACTCGTTTCTTGCGGGGCTAGATTCTAATTTCGGAAGCTTTGGTGAAGTCTTCGTAATCGTGAGTGTCGACTTTTCTATCGGTCTTTTATCATACTGAGACACAAGAATTTCCAAGTCTGCGGAGAAGATATCGTCCTCAGAATCATCAAAATCGCAAACTTCATCATTTGATACCGGCTGGCAGCTACGACTGCTATCGTCTTTTCTTGGCAAAGTCGAGTGAGATGTGGGTGTAGCTTGTTGAACAGTCAATAGAGGTACAGGATTTATGGACGCTGTCAAGTTATTCGGCGATTGATGGATAGGTATTCCTTGCTCAATCCCAAATACTTCAATAAGGCTTGCATCTAATTCGTCATCGTCAAAGTCACCATAATCAGAAGATGCACGCGTAGCTGAAGATAATGTTTTGTCTATGGGATCTTTCGTTATTTTGCCATCATCCAAGCGCTTTGTATCTGAAAAGCTTTTGCACGGGATTTCCGCTAGATGAAGACTCTCAGGGTTGAAATTGTCAAGTTCTAGACCACAATCAGGTTTGGTATGAAATTTTGACGCTGGATAAGATAGTTTGGGTTGAGTAAAACCCTCCTGCACCCTTTCTATTAGGACGGCCAATTTCGAGGGACAAACCTTAGTTGAATTCTTCAGGGCATCATTGAAAGATCCACCTACACTGTCTCTCCTCTGCGGGAACTGATTCCCACAACTCTGAGCTCTTCTAAACTTTATCGTAGTCCTTGGAGTCGTGCTACCATGAGTTGGCTTTGGTGAAGATGTCTGCATTAGGTGAGCTAGAACAGGGATCGATGGGCCTCTTTGTGTGGATAATTCTGGTTTATTAACAGAGAAGCGTCCCCAAAGCTCCGTTCCAGGATCAAACTGATGGGAAGCAAGAAGGGGTGACGATGCAACAGGAGATGAACTTCGAGCCCGTTTCCTCGCGGTTCTAATGGCCCCAAATCTTGGACCATTATCCTGGCCAATACCTTTATTGTGATCCCATTCTATCTTGTCATCTGGTGAGACTTCATGGACCGATCTTCTAACATCTCCCATTCCAATTAAGTCGGGTAAGGCTAATTTGCTGCATGGAGTCGAAGGATTTTCTTGTAAAGTCGAGGCCGATACATTATCATGCTTATTTATTGGCACTCCAAATGATGTAGTTCTTTCTTCAGCCTTCTCAACTATGTCTCTTGAAATATTCTCTTTTTCTTCATTTCCCAAGCCCTCGGAGGTTGCTTTAATCTTGTTGTCAGCATCAAAGTAGCCATTGAACTGAAAGTTGCTAAGCTTATTTTTTGTGACAGAAGATATAGGTATTGGAGGTTTTTCTTGCAAGGGCTTCGTCTCTGCTTTAGGGGCTTGGTTCTCAGAGAAGCTTTTATTCCTGTTCCATTGTGACCGATTTTGCTGAGATATTTTGTCAGATTCAAATGATAATTTGAGAAGAAGCAATTTTACCTTTGACCTAGAGGAATAATTGGTGTCAGAGAATGATTTCTGAAGTGGCATGCTTCCATGTGGCTCAACATGGGCTTTTCAACAATGTGGTTATCGCAGGATGCTTGCGGTCCACATTGGAACGTGCGGTGATCAGGGGGGGCGTCCCAGACGCGGGCTTTTTTTTGTACGCGACGTAAACCCTGATTAGAAATGGACATAGTCAACCGCTGAGGTACTTCTTAATCAAATTATTTATAGTAGATAAGCGACATTATTTGACAGCCCACACGTTCCTTTTAAGATTGGTCAATGATCCACATTACCATGCTCTTCCTAGATCCAGCTTGCTTCAACTGGAAGGGTTAGGGCGGATGAGAATTTACAATCACGTCAAGACTCTACTCATACCTGCACTCACTCCAACAATCATAACTATTCTTACACCTACGCCAACGCCAACATGAGCGGAGAGAAACAATTAGGCTTTTCGTACCAATTCGCCGCAGGTCTTTAACGTCCCATGTAGTAATTGAACAGTCTTGCTAACAGGAGCAGGCGCTATTGCTGGTATCTCTGAGGTAGGTGCGCTACGCCCTTTTGTGTTGATCAGTTATCCAAGCTTACCTTGCCTTTTCATAGATATTGGTAATGTTAGTTTCTCCATATTCTACTAAATGCATATTTTTAACTACACTGTAGGTATCCGCTGGATATTGTCAAGACTAGAATGTGAGGACCGATAGTTTTATGAACTATGGAGGAGTACTGATGCAGGTTCAGACAGTTACAGTCCTCTAAAGGCACTGAAGTAGATTCATACAATGGCATGGCGGACTGCTTCAAAAAAATAGTCCGGAATGAGGGGTATTCTCCGTTTTTGCCTAATTAAATCCACTTTAAGACTAACGTACGACAGATTTAATCGACTATATCGTGGGATCGGAGCACCTATCATCATGGAAGCCCCAAAACGAGCAACCAAATTTGCCGCCAATGAATTCTGGGGAGCTTTTTACCGTGACCTCACAGGCGCAAGTAAAATGAACCAACCATTGTCAATACTAGCCGGTGCCTCTGCTGGTGCAACCGAATCAATAGCTGTCGTTCCATTCGATCTTATCAAAATCAGAATGCAAGATCGTTCCTCAATAGGAAAGTACTCAGGTTTGGTAGATTGTGTCGTTAAGACTATCAAAGCCGAAGGTCCTCTAGCACTATATAATGGCTTTGAGAGTACCATGTGGAGGCACTCCCTTTGGAACGCTGGCTATTTTGGGTGTATCTATCAAGTCCGCGAATACTTACCAAAATCAGATAATCAGACTACGCAACTCCTGAATACCCTTATCTCAGGCGCAATCGGTGGTACAGTTGGAACCATTTTAAACACGCCTATGGATGTGGTTAAGTCACGCATTCAAAATAGTCCCAAAGTGGCCGGATCAGTCCCCGAATACAATTGGGCTTGGCCAGCAATTGGTAAGGTCATGAAGAGTGAAGGACCTGGAGCACTTTACAAGGGTTTTTTGCCCAAGGTACTTAGACTAGGCCCTGGTGGCGGCATTCTCTTGGTAGTATATACTGGGGTCATGGATTTCTTTGCGAAAATAAACGATGAGATGTCCAAGTAGGAAAAATAAATTGACTTGAGTATATGGAAACAAACTAACCCAAAATTTTGAACACATGACGATCCTAGGATTTTCCATTTGTGTAGAGGCCTCGAGCACAAGGGAGAAGCATCACCCGCACCAATACTGTAGGGTATGAGCAAATCACCGCGGCCGGTAGTGTCTGACGGTTGGCCAGGTGATGGTGGAGTGACAATTACATTTGTAATGACAGATTTGTTGATGAGAATGACGAACGCGAGGCGACGCGAGCTAGGAAGTTGACTTGGGTTCCATCTAAGATCCTACCGAATCTGACTATGAAGGTTACGAACTGTGAAAGATTAGCACGAAATTGACAGCTGCCAAAGTGAGTCACATACCCTTAAATTAGATACGTTTGTGCACAACGTGAATAAGCCACAGACCGAGTAACACAGTTCCGCGGCGTTTGTCATGGGAAGACTCATGATAATCAGACGTTCTCGCGACATCATGAGTGACGCGCATCGTCAAAAAGTGTAGCGCCTAATGACAGTAGAATGCATTATCGGTTGTTGAGTCTGGGAACCTTTACCTACAGACGGCGGCTGTGTCCTGTTGTATTTCCTGAGTACTCACTGAGGCTAGTGCAAGGGGGCCCTATCACGACTACAGGGCATTAGGTGAATATCGGGCCGGTAAGGCCGATAGTAGCTGGGGATTGGTTGAATTGAATTTATTTATGTCCCTACTGAGTCTTTGACTGTGAAGGACAGCTAAAACTATCTAAAAAGCTTTACAGTTAATAATAAATTTGGATATTGATGTGCTTAATATTTGCCAATAGGGTAGCTGGAGAGCGTAGGAGACTTTCGATACGAGCTGGAGGTTGAGTAAACGCGGCAAGGTTGACTCAAGTCCTCATGTAGGAGGAATCGTGGACACGGTGCGCAACTAGCGGTGCTGGCCGGAGCCGATGGTGGACGGGCGGTTGAAATGGTCTGAGTCTGAGAATACCGCAGGAGCGTCGACACATTTGCACAACCTCCTGTTGAACAGCAGAGGCCCCGCACATTACCAATAGTCTCAATCCCTCGAGGCTTCTCGCGATGTGCCCGCCTTCTCACTACCATCGCCGACCCGGCTGTCTGGCTTATGTGTAATTGTTCCGTCCCACTGAAGGGGGAGAATTGACTTGACATAACTGGGGCCTCAAAGATGGACAGGGTTCGTGATAGGGGCATACATATTTCGAGTTCCCCGGATACATGGTGGGTGATGCAACCTGATGGGGTCCATCCTCCACGCCCAGGTAATTATGGGTCGAGATTAGACTCCAACGCCCTGTATCTCGCAATCTACAAGGTATCTAGTGCCGTATGGATCGAGCTGAACGCTTGACTGTGACAAGGTCGGCAACTTACTCATGATGTCCTCCAGGGACTTTGGGGTAGAATATTCTCACAGTCCCAAGTTCAGTAAAATTTCGCAAAACCAAAGGAGTTGGCCCATGAGGCAATGAATAAAGAATCTCCATCATGTCAATCTTTCAATCCCAACCAGGTCGATCCCTATCTAAGCCTCGTCAAGTCTGCAAGTACGGCCAGAAACATCCTCAATTCAATGACCACACCTCTCATCGACTATTCTCTGGCCTCAGTTGGCCACCAATTACACGCTCACGCCGATATTTACGCCAGCAGGAGAATGCAAAGCCTAGCGCAATAACATGAGAGGCAGTTCTTTAGGATGGACGTGAGAGGGATTAGGACAAGTTTACAGGATAATGTAAAGGAAGTACACAGTCTCGACGGATGTGCGGATTCGAAATTTAGCTAGCATTTTGCGCATCAAACCTGCGATGGCGACAATGCAGCTGACACTATTAAAACAAGCCAACGATGAAAGGTGCCGTGCTGCGCCTCCTGGTGGTGACCTCTGGTATAATTTAGTGGCCTGGGCGCCTATTCCACCAAGGAAGGAGACGCTTCAGATCATATTTCGCACAGAGAAAATTCAGTGGATGATGGAGGCATGTCTAGACAACTCAGGGTTATTAAGGCGTTTCTCTGGGTGAGTATTCATGGATGGGGGTTGATTTGGGGTGAAGAAAAAGCCGCCATAACCTCGCAGTGATACTCTCCGATGAAACCGAGGCATTAGTACTCTATCTTTGAATTGGCTCATCAATTCTGTACTTTCAATCTGATATTGTGTCATGGCTAGACAGCTCCAGACACAATTTAGATCCGATGCAAAAAACAGAATACTGCTTGTTCCTAATGACACTCCTGGACCTAAAGCAGTGAACTTTGGATAGACCGTTTCCTGGTATCTGATTAGATAAAAATATGCTTTGGGATAGACGTTCTAGACTTTGTCAACTAAATGTACTACAGTGATAAATGTATGATAAAATTACACGAGGCTGACTACCCAGCCTTGTACCCTTAAATGGTGCCAAAACCTTACTGCAACGTCACTTCAAGTCGAAATACCAAATCTGCCAAGTGGTTGAGGAGCAATATATATAATGACAAACAACAGTGAGGGCAAGCTACAGCTCACATCGGCCATTGATAATGAATTATTTTTTATGCGAGCGGTCCACTAAGATACTAGCAGCCCAAGCCGTGTGGTAGATAATCTGTAGGAGAGGAGTTAAAAGGCCAGACCGGATTTTGAGTCCACGAAATCTCTTACTCTTTCTTCTCGTCCACGTAGCTTCGATTCGTCAAATCTCGTTGTACCGTGTAGCGAGGACAAAGCTAAATGTTGGAACTTAATCCATAAATTATGTCTTTGTCTCCAGATTTAATCTGTGGAATCACAGCGGCGTATCAAACAACGCCCAAGCCACCAGTAACATCCAACCCATAAACGCTAGACGTGGACCCGAGTCTCTACTACGGAATATAACTCTGGCTTATATCGCCTACTGGAGGTCTATAGTTGTGAACGGAGCGGTGTATCGAGGGCGAAGGCTTTACAGGGGACAATCCCACGCGCTGGCGCGGTCCTCACAGCGTTGGTGTCGCAGGCTACTCTCTAAAGGTAGGCCAAGCAACGCGATGTTGATTTTTTATGACTAGAGGGTCGACGATGACGGAGGGAGCGAGTATAGGACCTGCTATTTCATAACCTTCCCACATAATCATTTTTTATGGTTTGCGCGATTTACTAAACCAAGGTAGATTGCATGGGTAGCTATAGTGAGTGATTATGGTTTATGATCTGATGAATCTACGACTGCGTAAGGACTTGTAGGTCCTATCTGCCTACAGGCCAGGAGTATTTGTACCTCCTTTACGACTTCTTTCCAGCAGTAATACCCCTATAGGTCTTCAGTCGAGTACACACTGTGAGGAGCCATTATCCCGTCATTATCCCCCTCTTCAGCCGACGAAACAATGACCGTTTGCGGGTGTGTAGCTGCAGGGTAAAGTCTCAAAAACCACTGGGTGCGCGCCTCTCCTATTACGAGGAGGCCGACAAGCCGGGCGCAGCAGACCTGTGTAAATCTGAGAGCGTCTTTCAACCTTCCTAGCCTCCTCCTTACTCCTCCCCTGATTCATACTGCAGGACAAATAGTAGGTCGTGAAAGGATATCAGAAAAGTCTTGGTCGAGAGTGACAGTCGTGAAGAAGCCTAGCCTAGCATCCAAAAGTCGTTGCGGACGTGGGGTCGTCGAGTAACTCATTTATTTCAGATGCCCTCCTGGCTAGTAGATTCGGAAGTAATGATTAGAAGGGACGATACTATTGACAAGTCGAAATCTGCTTTTCTTGAGGGCGGATGGGTCTTTTACTTTGCTTTCATGGGCTTTTTGTTTGCCCGCCGGCGGGTAGCATATGTTGTGATGTAACGAGGGCTTCTCTGACTACCGTTGTAGCGTTTGGTACGGCATTATCTTTCCTCATTCCCAGCATCATTATCATCGTCTTGGTCGTCTTATGTATTATCGAAAGCGTATCTTTGATGGAGGGGAAGATGACTCAGCTAATAGTTTATAAGGTGTTGCCCAAACACGACTCTGCAGACTCTACAGCGAGAGCCGGAGGTTGGTCGGGGACATAACAAGCAAGTGTTGAGTTTCGTCCTCCCAGATAGTTATGGCTAACTGGTGGGGTATTGGCTGTTTAGTTTTGTGGTACTTTAAATCTATCTAGCATCTGGCCGACCTCTTCGTCATAGGAGAGGCCCACACCCAGTGGTTTTTGAGACTTATCCCCTGCAGCAACACACCTGCAAATTGCCATGGTTTCGTTGGCTGGAGAGAGGAGATAGTGATGGGGTAACGACTCTTCTCAGTGTGTGCTTGAAAGAAGATCTGTGGGGGTTTGGGTTGGTTTATTCATTAACGTGCTAGGTAAAGTGACTACCGTTGAACTCCTGGAGCTTAAACACGAGTGGGGCCGGGCTGGATCAGGTTAACTACCATTAAGAACATCTACCCCGTCCCACCTCAGACTTCACCCATGTGTTGAATCATGTCAAGCCCAACCGTCCAGAGAACCCCATTTAGACGCACCGAAGCGCAAATTTCTCCTCAGTGTCGGTCACCACGCGCCAGAGCCCTTGACATTTTCGTGATCTATAACTTTTTCCTTCGATTCATTCCCAGCTTTGGCTCATCTCAGCATCTCATCACCTCATCCAGGGGTCGTTTTCTTCAGTGGAGGCCTCATCCAGTCGCCCAACAAAGTCTCCTCAGTTTGTATTCCCTTTTTGTTCCTTCATGCAGCATCCCTCTATCCTTCAGCCGAGAATGTCCACCCCTCCGGCCTTGCCCCGTCGCTGCCGTACCCCTAACCATGGAGGTCGAAAATGTGACTGAGAGCTCAAGACTGAGGCACCGGTGCCCCGGCCTTTGTCGAACGCTCTAGTTAGTGTGCTAGCGAAATGTCGTACTTATTTCGTCGCTGGCGATTCGTCGCAGGTCTAGTTGTTGGTGCCCTTGGCCGAGGTGAGGACGCATCTAAGGCCGGTATTTCGACCGTACCTTCACAGCGACTGGCAGTTGTGTAGGGTCGGACATCCTCTTGCTTATTTAATGGCGATTTGGCTTTTGGAGGTATAAGATTGCGTTGGTAGGTGATGAGATGATTGTGGAGAGGGCCACGAGATGAGTTTGGCTGGGAATGAGTTTCCAGAGAAAAAGAAAATAAGATCTTGAAGGTGTCGGTTGTTTTGGTATGAGCATCAGACAGATAATAACCTGTCTGAGATTCGTTTCTAGGGTGTGGATGGTTGATTTCGTTGAGTTGTGCAGTCGTGAAATCTCTGCAAGTCGGATTTTCGACCAAAAATGAACCAACGCCACTCCTCCCAATCGCCGACTCGACGAAAACTCTCAAATTCACCCTTCGTCGTGACTGAATCTCGGCTCTGGGAGAATATTTCACTCCCAGGTTCGTAGAGGACATCACTGACAGATGTTCAGCCTTCGCCCTCCCTTAAGATCATTGTGTTGTTGTATTTTTAAGGCTCTGAGCTAAATAAAAAAGCTCTACATCCTACTATTGGTACAGGACCGGTGGAGCCAGTAAGGATCACTATACATAGGCTTAACTCATTCTAACCGCGTGAACTTCCACGTGAATGATGGTGTTAACAGCAAAACTAAAATCATAAACAAAAATGAAATTTAGAATAAATCCCTGTAGGTCTAGATCCTGCGCTTCTCGCTCGTTCCCTTTCCTGTTACATCTTCCAAGTAACAAATTCTGACTGTTGCTGAGAGCAGAAGATGAGCTTGTAGGCTCCCTTATCCAGCCAGTTTCCTGCTATTAACTTATTGAAGCCTCTACAAATTCACTGAGGCTGGCCGTAGCCTTAAACCTTCTCTTCGGATTCTAGAATTCCAAACCCCGATCTGTCTGACATGTAGACGTCGTTCTTCGAGCCGAAAATTGCATAAATGGCTATTTCAACTGCAGCTTTGACACGAGCATAATCTGCGTCATTTTTCTGCTCGACCTTTTAAATTATTGCAAGCTGCTCTTTTTTCACCGGGCCGAACTTGCTAGGTCTAGCTTTGCAGAACTGCGAATTCGATCGATGAAGTCCCCCACA